GGTACAGTGACTCTGCTTATTCCTTCCATCTTCTTTTGATGCTTTCTGTATCATTCAATAATTTGCCCAGAGAATCCTTCGATAATGAAAGTCAAGGCTTGAATTTTTTTCTTCAGTTCCCCCAGCTTGAGAAATGCTGAGCATGTTCTTTCCTTTTGGTGTTCTGACTCCAGATCTTTGCACATTTCATTGTAGTATTTAACTTTGTCTTCTTGAGCTGACCTTTGAGATTTTCTGTTCAGCTCTTGTACCTCCTCATTTCTTCTATTTGTTTTAGCATCTCTACGCTGGAGAGCAAGTTTCAGTGTCTTTCTGACATCCATTTTGATCTTTTCCTTCTTTCTTGTCTTCTTAATGATTTTTGCTTTCTTCCTGTATGATGTTCTTGATGTCATCCCACAACTCTACTGGTCTTCGGTCTTTAGTGTTTAATGTATCAAATCTGTTCTTCAGATGAGCTCTAAATTCAGGTGGGATATATACAAGGTCATATTTTGGCTCTTGTGGTCTTGTTTTCATTTTCTTTAGCTTCAATCTGAATTTGCATATGAGCAATTCATGGTCTGTTCCACAATCTGCCACTGGCTTTGTTTTGGCTGATGATATAGAGGTCTTTCCACCGATGTAGTCAGTTTGATTTCTGTGTATTCCATCTGGTGACGTCCATGTGTATAATCGTCTCTTTTACTATCTAAAGAAGGTGTTGGAAATGAACAAACCATTGGTTTTGCAGAATTCTATCATGTGATCTCCAGCATTGTTTCTATTACCAAGGCCATATTTTCCAACTACTGATCCTTCCTCTTTGTTTCCAGCCTTTGCATTCCAATCACCAGTAACAATCAGTACATCTTGATTGTATATGTGATCAATTTCAGATTGAAGAAGTTGGTAGAATTCTATTTCATCCTCACTGGCATTAGGGGTTGGTGCATATAGTTGAATAATAGTGGTATCAACTGGTCTTCCCTGTAGGTGCATGGATATTATCCTATCACAGACAGCATTGTACCTCATGACTGATCTGGATATGTTCTTTTTGACTATGAATGTAACACCATTCCTCTTCAATTTGTCATTCCCAGCATAGTAAACCATGTGGTTGTCAGATTCATACTGGCCAATACCAGTCCATTTCAGGTCACTAATGCCTGTGATACTGATATATGCGCTCCTTTTTATTTTTGACAGTTTCCCATTTTCCCAGATTCATACTTTGTACATTCCATGTTCTGATTGTAAATGTGTGTTTACAGCTGTTTCTCTTCATTTTGAGTTGTGCCTCATCAGCAAATGAAGGTCCCGAGGCTTTACTCCATTCGCGTCATCATGGTCAACTCTACTTTGAGGATGCAGCTCTTCCCCTGTCGCATTTTGAGTGTCTTCCAACCTGAGGGGGTCATTTTCTGGCACTATATCTGACAGTGTTTCTCTGCTATGCAGAAGGTTTTCAGTGACTAAATTCAGAAGTAGTTTGTTTCTTCTTCTTCCTATTCTGTGTTTGTCTGAAAGTTCATCTGAAACCTGTCTACCGTGGGTGACCCTGCTGGTATTTAAAATACTGGTGGCATAGCTTCCAGAATCACAGCAAGTCACAAGCCACCACAGTAAGACAAACTGACAGATGAGTCGTAGGATTATAAGATAGTGCATGCAATTTTCTTGTTGTTAAGTGCTGTTGAGTTGGTTCAGACTCATAAGGACCCCATATAGGGTTTTGGAGGCTTTAAGTCTTTGTAGGACTAGAAAGCTTTATTGGTCTCCTGTGGAGCAGCTGGTAGTATTGAACCACCAACCTTGTGGTTCACAATCCATTGGTTGTCCTTTGAAGCCACCAGAAATAAAAGGAAACATGTTTTAAAAGATAAATGAAATTCAGCTGGAATAGTAATGAGACGAGTTTTACAAGAAGTAGCCTATACTTATTAATAAACAATCCTACTGATGAAGAAGACAAAAAGAAACTCATTAAAAATTAAGTGGTGCAAATTGTTAAGTTCATTGGTTAGTTAGTGGTTTGCTTCTATCCAGAGGCGCTTTGAAAAGAGCTCTGTTGATCTGTTTCTGAAAAACTTGCCAATGAAAATGCTCTGGAGCAGTCTGCTCAGTCACTAAGAGTCAGAATTGACTTGTGGAATCTGGTTTAGCTAAGTCTAAACTACCAGCGGTTCCACAGGAGAAAGATGAGGCTTTCTGCTCCTGTAAAGATTTACAGCCTCGGAAACGCTGTACAGTGTCACTATGAGTCAGAACCGACTCAATGGCACACTGCCACCACCACCAAGACTATCCAAAAATTCAAACTACAATATGCATGCAAGTCACTAAAATAAAGTATAATGAAGACAAACACTCCAGAAAACACTGTTTCAAATGACATTAAAAAGTATAAGGATAATTTGTTTCCATTATATTAGATACAAAGAAAAGAACCCAAACAGTTATAATTAAAGTGAATTGGGAAGTGTCAGTCTATTTAGGTAACAGATGATTACCTGAAGGTAAGGTGGAAATAGAATTAAGAAGCAATAATTAAGTTGTCTTTAGAAAACTGAATGTCCAAATAAACATGGTCTGATAGAATGCTTCATGAAGTATCTTAAGAGTTTGAATTACTTCAGAAACTATTTAGCTCTGGAATTGTAGCATACGTGAAGACTATAATTTAGAAAAAATGTCTAACAGTGCAGATTAACTTTAATACTAGGTGAGATAAGAAGAAACTGAAATAGAAATTTAGTAACAGGACATCTCAGATTCAAAACATTTCTTATTATGTTAAAAATAAATAACCCAGACTCTAGAGTTAGCCCAAGTCAACAGTTCATTCAACATAAAAACCAAAGACAAGTACACAAACTCCATTTCTTCCTAGTCTTTAAGATTTTCTTCCTTCCCACTATTAAACCCAGAAGACTTTTGTTTTGATTTTTAAATGAATGCATATGGCGAGGATGTTTTAGATGAAAGTGCGTAAGTATTGGCAAGAGTACAGTAGGAGGGGCACTCTTGTTTTCCACTGGTGAGGACTTGTGCTTCTCAACCACCTACAGTGTACCTGGGGGCCTTGTTAAAGCACAAATTCTATTTCAAAATCTGCCTTAGGGTTTGAAAACTCTGCATTTCTAATAGGCTCTCAGAAGATGCTCATACTGCTGATCTGAGAAGCATGTTTGTATACCAAGGCTCTAAAGAACATAAAAAGAGCTTTAATCTTCTGGTAAGATATTGGACACTACACAGACCCTCTACAACAAAAAAGGGAAAGACCCAAGAAAACAGACACAGATGAAAATTCTGGCACCCTGAACTTCAGGAGAAAGGTTAGAGGCAAATGGAGTGCTTGCTGGGAGGAAAGACCAGGCAGGAATGGTGAGAGGGAGACTGACTGGTGAACAGCTGGCCAGATCCGGCTCTACCATCTTATGAGCAGCTTTGGTAGTGGAGGGAAGCCTGGCAGAGTAGATTCATGCAGGCAATGGAAAAGGTTCAATTTCTTTTTCTCCATGCTCCCCTGGTGACAGGAGGTGTGGCCAGCTCCCACCCTCACCCATCCTCCAGTGCAAATCCTGCTCTCCAGTTCAGAGCCATGTGGTTGGGAGCCACACCAGTGTGATTGAGAACCAGCTGTGCTGCTTTGGTGCTTGGATCAGGTGGGCTCAGTTCCAGACCTACGAAACCTGTGGAGCCACCAGACTAGCATTTAACCATTCATAGTACCCCCAGCTCCCCTGTGGTCCTAATAGACACTGAAACCAGCTCCACAAACTACTTTTGTATTGAGTACCCTAATCATAAATAACACTGAGGCCAATAGAAAATCCATTTCATGCCAGGAACTCTACTGACATATTCCTCCACAGTCACCTCATGAACTCTTGAATTGCAGGAGCCCACCAGAGTTCTCGCTGCTGGTTCAAAGACTGCACTGTTGGTTTTTACAAATACCACAACCCCACTATGCCCCGGGAACAACAGACAATTTTAGCTCACACAAAGAAACGAGACAATGACTCAAATAAATGGCCAAGATGCAGAGACAGAAAACATTTCTGAGGGAAAAAAGGTAATAGAACTAACTGAAAATGAATTCACAGAAATGGTATTTTGGTACCTTCAATGGATTTACAGAAAGATCAAGGAAAGCAAGGAGAAGACAGAGAAAAAACTGTAGAAGAATTCAGGAAAATGGCTACAAGAAAAAACACAAAATAAATGCAAATTTTGAAACAATACAAAACCTACCTTTAAACTTCCATGAGATTACTACTATGATCTCTCAGGACGCCTAGGATGTTGATGTTTATGTGTTCCAATTCATTTTTCACAACTTCCAGTTTTTTTAGACTCATACTTAGTACATTCCATGTTATGATTATCAGTGGATGTTTATAGCGGTCGCTCCTCATTTTGATTTGCGCCGCATTAGAAAATGAAGGTCCTGAAAGCTTTGCTTTATTCATGTCATTATGGTCAAATCTACTTTGAGGAGACAGCTCTTCCCTAGTCAGATTTTGAGTGCCTTTGAACCTGAAGAGCTCATCTCCCAGCATGATATCCGACAGTGTTCAGCTACTATTCCTAATGTTTTTATCTTGCAACACTATGTCTAACAATGCTCAGTTACTATTCATAGGTTTTCAGTGGCTTACCATTCATAAGTAGTCCGCCCTACCTTCTTCCTAGTTTGTTTTAGTCTGGAAGCTTCACTGAATCCTGTCCACCGTGGGTGACCTTACTGGTATTTAAAATATCAGTGGCATAGCTCCCAGCATCGCAGCAAAACAAAAGCCACCACAGTTCAACAAACTGACAGGAAGAATGTCTTTAATGCACATGCTTTATAGGGAAGTCAGTCTTGGAGCTTTTCATTAAAAACAAAAATATGTATGGTGCTCCCAATGATGTGTGATTGTCCATATCCTTGCAGGTATGCCAACAGTAGCCTCATAAAGTACATGGAGAAACACAAGGTCAAGCCCGACAGCAAAGTATTCCTCTTGGTAGGTGCATCTCTCCCAGACTGTGAAGTTTGATTCTTAGCACAGCTCTCACCTCATCTCATTTACCTCCTCTTTAGAAAGAAAAGAAATTGGTGGGTGTTCGGGCAAAATTAAATATTTTTCTGTGGAGATATCACCTCTGATTTCTGATGTGAATTTTTTCAATGATTTATGTATGAACAGGAAATCATTTGCATTCTAAAAAGGTTTTAATGCTGATGATTTTTGCCAGCTGTACATAAATGTGTATAATGTAACAGTCATGTAATGAGCAATACAAAATGTATTTGATGTTAATCCAATTAGACAGTAATGCAAAGGTTAAAACAACCTTGTCATGTGCTCTCAATTTTTACGTTACTCTAGCTTCAGAAACTTCTTACTATGGACCCAACCAAGAGAATTACCTCAGAGCAGGCTCTGCAGGATCCCTATTTCCAGGAGGACCCCTTGCCAACTTTAGAGTATGTATCCTGCGTTTTCTATGTCCTTTGCTCCACGTTCAGCAGCTGAAAACAAGAGAAGCACTTGTTGCGGAAGTATTTTACTTTCTTCATTAGTATTTATTCAGAGACAAACTGCTGGTGACAAAGGTCCTGTATTTAGAAATAAGCCAAGCTGAAGAGAGGTGTGAATGAAAACAACTGTTTTCAGTATGGAAACTAAAGCTGAGAACAGATGGGACTTGTATAAAAAGATCTTTTTAATAAGATGGTTGATCAGTCTGATCAGCGATTAAACCAAACATGTAGGAACTGAATTTTGACTTCTCTTATGTGTCTGTGCCCAGTGAGCCACAGCGCCCCTCTACTTATTTATCCTTGTTGCATCCAAATATATAATTTGTTCTCTTGGATTTATTAGAGATGCAGCTTTCCTTTAGGGGAGAAAAGAACACATTTTCATTGCTGAAGCAAATGCAAATCAGCTATTTTTTTGCCGATCAAATTAATTTGGAAAAACTTCTATATTGCATATGTCACCTAACTAAGGGAGCTAAGATTTGTTATTGAAAGTGGCAATTACTGTAAAACATCAGAAAACAAATTATTCTTTTCTTATTGCTTCAGTTAAATTGTGTTGGGAAGCATTCTGCAAATACCAGCCCCCAAGGGTAGGAGAGCATAAATAGATGTGGTAAGCAATGAAAAAGGGGTATTTTAAATGAACAAAAGTTACTGATCGTGTGGCTCTTAAGCCATGCATGACACATGCCTTTTTTTTTTTTTTCCTTTTAAAATAATGTTTAGTGTGTTTGCTGGCTGCCAGATTCCATACCCCAAACGAGAATTCCTGAATGAAGATGAACCTGAAGAGAAAGGTGACAAGGTATAAATCATGTGGTACACTGTGTGCCTCCAGAGAGTAAGAGAGACAAAAAGAGATTTTAGCAGATGCATAACTTAGTAATTACTATTTAACTGTCTTTGGTTGCATTAATATGTATGCATTTTAATTTCAATGGAAGTTTTGTGATTATAGATATGCCTTGGCATTTGAAACAATAGCAAACTTGCTGATAAATGATCTCCCCAGTGAACTTCCTAGTTTATTTCTAGCCCTTTCTTTTCCCTGATTCCTAATTCTTCCCTTTTTGTTAGTTCTGTGTTATTACTATAGACGGGGACGGGCTTTTCAGAGCATCACTGTACTCTTATCTTTACTGACTGTTCGGCCCCTCCCTGAGCCCCTCTGGTGGAAGTGGTAATTTCCACTTTCAAGTTGGTTTTGACTCATTGTGACCCTGTGTAGTGTTTCTGACAGAAGCAGAAAGCCTCATCTTTCTCCCACAGAGCAGCTGGTGGGTTCCAATTGCTGACCTTACAGTTAGCAGCCCAACACATAACCTGCTATATTACCAGAGCTCCTTTGTTGTTGTTGAGTGCCATCGAATCTGTTCCAACCCATAGCGACCCTGTATAGAGTTTCCCAGGAGCAGCTAGTGAGCTTGAACCACCTACCTTGCAGTTCAGTTGACTTTTCAGTTTGGTGCATTAACCTTCTCTAAAGGAGCTCTGGTAGCATGTTGTTGTTAAGTGCTTTCGAGTCGGTTCCGACCCACAGCGACCCTGTATAGGGTTTCCAAGGAGCAGCTGGTGAGCTTGATCTGCCAACCTTGCAATTCAAAGGCTTTGCAGTCAGGCACATTAACCCACAGCACCACACCAGGACTCCCTCTGGTAGCGTAGTGGTTATGAGTTAGGCTGCTAACCTCAAGGTCAGTAATTCGAAACTACCAGCTGCTCTGCAGGAGAAAGATGAGGTTTTCTGCTCCTGTAAAGATTTACAGCCTTGGAAACCCTATACAGGGTCACCATGAGTCTGAACCGATTCCACGGCACATAACCACCACCACTAGACCACAGGAGTCCTTGTGTGGCTGTGGCTTAATGGGCCAGACTGCAAAGCCGCCTGAACTACAATATCGGCAGTTCAAGCTCACCAGCTGCGCCTCAGAAACCCTATACAGGGTCGCTATAGGTCCGAACCGACTCGACAGCAATTAACAACAACAACTAGACTACAAGTTCGGTTTGAACTTCAGGTCCGGTGATTCAAACTCACCTACCGCTCATCAGAAACCCTATACGGGGTTTTGATGAGTCAGAACCCACTTGACGACTCTTGGCAACATCAACACTTGCCCAAAATCAGGATCCAAAGACTTGTATAGGCAGTTTCCGTGAGTACAAACTATTTCTTGTGTACCTTTTGACCTTCAGTGGATGTCTGTGATTAATTTGGAGGTTTACTTTGCAGTCTAAATACACTTCAGAGACAGCCTTGTTCTGACTGGAGTCTTGGATCCTTGCGAACACTGTATTCTCCAGCACTTCTGTAATCCAGTAGTTCTGGTCACTTTGGTGTTCCACTTAACTTGCTCTCTAGCAATCACATGTACATATCAAGCGATGAGAGAAATGTGTAAATTCAGCGTCATACCAAGCTCGCTTTTCTTTTTCTCCTTGAAAAGAATCAACAGCAGCAGCAGAACCAACATCAGCAGCCCGCAGCTCCCCTGCAGCAGGCAGCAGCTCCTCCCCCGGCGCCACCACAGCCGCAAAACAGCAGCACGCAGACCAATGGGACGGCAGGGGGCGCTGGGCCTGGGGGCACTGGGGCTGGGCTGCAGCATAGCCAGGACACCGGCCTTAACCAACTGCCTCCAAACAAGAAACCAAGGCTCGGGCCTTCAGGCGCAAGCTCAGGCGGGCCTGTTATGCCGTCAGATTATCAGGTATCCCCCGAATTCTGTACTTTTTTATGTTTGTAAATTTGATGGAGTAGGTAATAGATTAATAAACTCTGTTACTCTAAAGTTAGATCATGTATGTGTCATCCATTCGATTCCGACACATAGCGTCCCTATGTTGTTGGTGTTGTGGAGTTGTTTCCAACTCATAGTGACCCTGTATAGGGTTTCCGAGACTGTAAATCATTACAGGAGCAGAAAGTCTCATCTTTCTTCTGCAGAGTGGCTGGGAGGCTCAAATCACCAACTCTGTGGGTCACACAGTCCAGTGCATATACTGCAGAGCCCATAGCGACCCTGTGTTGTTGTTATGTGCAGTGGAGACGGTTCTGACTCATAGTGACCCTGTATAGTGTTTCCAAGGCTGTAAATTGTGAGGGGAACACCCTGTAAAACAGAATAAAACTGCCCAATAGGGTTCCCAAGGCAATAGATCTTTACAGAAGCAGACACCTCTTTCTCCCTCAGAGAAGCTAGTAGGTTTGAACTATCCACCTTGCAGCCAACAGCCAAGCACTTAACCATTATGTATGCAAAACATATACAATCATATAAACTCAGCTTGTAAACTTAAAATAAATCTCTAGTGGCATAGTGGGTTATTTACTGTGCTCCTAACCACAAGGTTGGCAGTATGAATCTACCACCCACTCCTCAGAAGAAAGATGAGACTTTCTGCTCCCGAAAAGATTTACAACCTTGGAAACCCCATACAGGGTCACTGTGAGTTGGAACCAAGTTGACCACACACAACCACCGCCACCAAGCTTATCATTATATACAGAGCATATAAAGATGTCCAGGTGGTGCTGTGGTTTTAGCATAGGGCTGCTAACTGTATAGTCACCACTTCAGATCCATCAGCTACTCACTCCTCTGGAGAAAAATGAGGATTCAGTAAAGATTTACAGTTGCAGAAACGCTTCATAGGGTTATTTTGAGTCAGAATCTATCTGATGAGAGTGGACTTTGTTTTGGGTTATACAAAAATAAAGATTCTTAAAAAATCTTATTTCACATAATTATGATATATTTTGTTTCCTGGCCTGTTTATCCCTGACCTCCTGAGGAGGTCAAAGGCAGGAGGCAGTTGAGAAGGGGAATGAGGAGGCTGCTTACTTTGGCTAAACTAAGCTACATGAACATTGTGCTTTCACTTGGAAGACATAATCAAGTAAGTATCGACACAGGCAAAGAAGAGGAGAGGTTAAGATCATGACTTCTCAGAGATAACTGTTAAGTTTCACTAGAAGTCGCTTTATAAATATTCTACTGTTGTAAAAATATATATAACACATTTGCTGATTCAGCTTCTGTCCATGAATATAATTGCTCACTAGATAAAAATTTGAGACTAGAAAGTACTTTTTATTATTAAGAACAAAACAACTGATTCAGGAAATCAAAGAATAAAAGTGTAAGAATTAGTATTTAAAAATGTTGTTGTTAAGTGCCACCGAGACAATTCTGTCTTGTTGTAACCCGGTATAGGGTTTCCAAGGAGCAGCTGGTGAGTTTGAACCACTGACCTTGTGGTTCAAACAGACCTTATAATCCAGTGTTTTACCCCACAGTGCCATACAAGGACTTGTTGTTAGGGGCCATCGAGTTGGTACCAACTCATAGCAGCCCTGTGTAAAACAGACAAAACAATTGTTGCCACACTTGAGCCCATTAATGTTGCCACTCTGCCAAACCATCTTGCTGGGGTCTTCATCTTTTTCTCTGACCCTCCACCTTACCAAACATGATCTCCTTCTCCAGTGACTGGTTCCTCCTGACAATATGTCCGAAGTATGAGAGACGAAGTTTGACCATCTTGGCCTCCAGGGAGCACTCTGGCTGCACTTCTCCAACACAGATCTGATGGTTCTTTTGGCAGCCCATGGCACTTTTCAATATTCTCCTCCAACACCATAACTCAAAGGCATCAATTCTTCTATGATCTTCCTTATTCACTGCCTGGCTTTTGAATGCATGTGAGATTATTGAAAATACCATGGCTTGTGTCAGGCGCACCTTAGTCCTCAAGCTGACACCTTACTCTTCAACACTTTAAAAAGTTCTTGTGCAGCAGATTTGCCTAATGCAATATGTCATTTGATTTCTTGACTGCTGCTTCCAGTGGTGAGGATTTTTGTTTTCTTTACATTGAGATGCAATCCATACCAAAGGCTGTGCTCTTTGATCTTCATCAGTAAATATTTTAAATCCTCTTTACTTTCAGCAAGAAAGGTTGTGTCTTCTGCATATTGCAGGTTGTTAATGAGTCTTCCTCCAATCCTGATCCCATGTTTTTCTTCATATAACCCAGCTTCTCAGATTATTTGCTCAGCATACAGGCTGAATAAGTATGGTGAAAGAATACAACCCTGTCACACACCTTTCTTAATTTTAAACCATTCAGTGTTTCCATGGTCTGTTCGAACAACTGCCTCTTGGTCCAGGTACAGATTCCTCATGAGCACAATTAAGTGTTCCGGAATATTCATACATCACAATGTTGTCTGTAGCTTGTCATGATCTACACAATTAAAAGCCTTTGCGTAGTCAATAAAGCACAGGTATTCTATGCTTTCAGCCAAGGTCCATCGCACATCAGCAGTGATAACCCTCATTCCATATTCTTTTCTGAATCTGGCTTCAACTTCTGGAAGTTCTCTATCAATGTATGGTTGTAGCCATTTCTGAATTACCTTTAGTAAAACTTTACTCACATGGGATATCAAAGATGTTGTCCTATGATATCCACATTGCATTGGGTCACCTCTCTTTGGAATGGGCACAAATATGGGTCTCTTTCAATCAGTTGGCCAGATAGTTGTCTTCCAAATTTCTTGGCATAGATGACTTCTGGTTTGGGGGCAGGAGAAGCAGAGACAGATAAGGGAGGCTCCTTGGCAGAGGCGCTTTCCTGGAGCAGTTCTAGAGCTTTGAATCTAACATAAGCTGGTGGGCATCATTTTCTGTGCCCACCAATGGAGAAATCTGACTGTTCCAGGAGTCCACAGCGATTTCTGAATTGGTCCAGACACTGCCTGTGGGCCCCTTGGCCTGGGCTGCAATCAGAGAGTGGGGCCACAGCCAGGCTGATACAGCGCTAAAAGTCACCAAGCAACATCTGCAAAAAGAGGTGTGACCGATTTTTTACTGTTCTTTCCTCCTCTCCCCTGTCACACCCTTTCTGCCCAACCCGGGCATCTTCAGGCGCGTGGGCGCACACCCCCAAAAGAGTCCAGCATTGTGCTCACAGTTTTCCCATCGCACAGGGAGGAAATTCCCAGGAGCTCCAATGGTCCCACAAGCTATTCCTTTGGCTGCTTCTTATGACATCTGACTCTGGGACTCAGCCCTAAAATTGACCTGGATGGGCCCTTTTATTCTTGCCTTACCTAACAAGAGACAGCTGGTATGACCATACAGCCAAACCATATGTGCACCTTGTAAAACCCCAACATAAAAGACAAGAGCCAGCACCAACAAGGACACAGCTATTTTGAGAATTACACTGTGCATATGCAGATACCTAAGTGACCTTCAGAGATAAAAATAGTGGACAATCTTTCTTCTATTCATTTCTCAATATCTTTCTGTGCACCTCCATGGTGGTGACTAGAGGAGGGGCCTGAGCAAGTGGACACCCCCACCCACTGCTGGAGGTTTCTACTGTGCATGCACATTGAGCTGTGCAGCAAAGGATACTGGACAGTCAGCTACGCTTTTATTTTTGTTTTTGAGTGGTGGTTTTTGTCTCTGCTTTTGTATTCCCGTTTCTGTTTTTGGTCCTTTTTGGCTCACTTTTTTCCTGGGGGTGGGCGCTTTCTCTCCCTATGGTACTCAAGAAGAGACAGCAATTGTGGCCATATAGCCAAAGTACAAGCATACCCCATAATATCCCATCGTCCGGACAGGAGCCAATACCAGCTACTAGGCATTACACAGATAGCCAACACTTGCTAAGATAGCTTGCAGCTGAGTAATAAGAGACGTAAAAAGGAAAGCCTATCTCCAGATCACATCCACCAGGAGACACTCAGTAAGTTTAATAACACAGCAACATACATTCATTTAATCATTGAAAACACATCTAACTATTGAAAATGTCCAAGAAAAAACAACAAAATGTCTCAGCACATGTCCAAAAACAGAAAAGAGTAACTGAGAAAAATGTGCTGGAGGCGGACATAGACTTCCCATTAGAAGAAGAGCAGGCTTTGGAGCTGTCTGAGAAGGAATTCAGGAGAATGATATGGAGACAAATCCAATGCTCCACAGAGGGGTGGAAGAAAATAAGGACAAAGTCAGGTATAGCATTGGAAACAATCCAAAACCTGCAAAAAGAGGTCCAGATGATTAATAATAAAATATCAGAAATGGACAATACACTGAAAGTGCAAAAGAGCAGGATTGAAGCAACCTGGAAGACAAATCTCTCAATACTGCTAAGATAGAAGAGCAAGCAGAAAAAAGGGATAAAAAA